AAGGTCAAGCTCTTCAAGCCGCTGGGCAGTGTTACACCATCCAAGCTTTTGTCGAAAGAATTACCAAAGGTCAAGGTCTGCAAGCCGCTGGGCAGCGTTACATCATCCAAGCTTTGGTTAAATCGTCCACCAAAGGTCAAGCTCCTCAAGCCGCTGGGCAGTGTTACACCATCCAAGCTCTGGTTAAATTCTCCATCAAGAGTCAAGGTCTGTAAGCCGCTGGGCAGCGTTACACCATCCAAGCTTTGGTTGAAATTAAAGGTCAGTGTCTGCAAGCCGCTGGGCAGCGTTACACCATCCAAGCTCTGGTTGAAATCTGAACCAAAGGTCAGTCTCTGCAAGCCGCTGGGCAGCGCTACACCATCCAAGCTTTGGTCAAAGTCCAGGGTCAGTGAAGTGATGGCATTGATGGCATCCACATCTGCAGCAAGCAAAGGAAACTGCTTGCTGTGCACCTTTGCTTCTGCTAGGGCTCTCAGCAAACTCACAGCTGCTTCTCCAGCAGCAATTTGCCTCACGACAAACATGATCTCGTCACCGTCAACTTGTTGCAGCAATGGCTTGGAGGCATCAAGGACCTTGCCACCTGACGTGAGCACCAGTCTGCTGCCTGGCTTCATGCCAGCCGATTCTCTGATGATTCTGTATAGGTCATCCACCTCCGATGTGGTTGAAACCGAAGGTATAACTACTCAAACACAGTGTGCTCCAGCCGACCCAAAGAAGGAAAGCCCTTATCAACGAACAACCAGTTAAGACTCATTAAACATCATTAAACACCAGTTAAGACCCATCAAACACCATTAAACGATATTTGATCTGTCCAGGCCACGGTCGTTCCATCCACGGCCAACAGCTGAAAGGTCGATCCATCGATGCCATGGACGTTCAACGGGCGTCCATCGCCCACGGCGCCCCTCGCGCGTGCGAGTTCCGTCGGACGAACAACACATCTGATCCCCTGAACTCCCTGAACTGGTGGGACCGGGACGACCAGTGACCTCTTTAGGGACGATATAAGTGACGACCAGTGACCTCATTCTAGGATCTCAAGTTAGGTCACTTTGAAGGTCGTGGTGTGACCTAGCTTTATTTAGCTTGCTTTTGAGCCAAGGAGCTCTTGATCGACGGCACAGGCCACACGGCGGCGCTTGGAACCACCTTCGTCCACATCCACGTCCACCGGAGCGATGTCAGCGCGAGGTGTTGCGATGTCCATTGCGAGGATCTGCGATGACTGAGACGGGGGACTTCAGAAAGCCCAAGTACTGCTGAATCAAGTGGTTCAAAGCAATACCTATAGGGATCCAGTCGTACCGAACCTCAGGTTAGGTACTGATTTGGACCCTTCAAACCTACATCGCAGTGTCTCCAATCACCTTCTCAGCGGGGTAAGTTCAATCCCCTGGCACCGAGCCCTGCTCGGGTTATGGAGATATATATGTGTGTGCAATGGTGTGCATGAACGAAGTTCTGGGAGAAGGAACCTAGACCAAACCTCATTGAAGGTTTACCTATTAAGTATACACATCCATGTACTGCGACAAAATCGAAAGCAAATGAGTCCAGCTCCACTTACACCCAGTCGCGACCACCTGGTCAGCGACCGACCAGCACTCGACCTGGGCCAATAGACCTGACTACCTGAGCGCAGCCTCAAAGGCTGGTTGCTCCATGACCCGGATCCAGTTCTGCCACTACTCCCGGAAGACCTGCAGGTCTAGGCTCAAAACATGTAACGGGTCAGGCTCCACAGGCTCCCCAAAGGCTCCCCAAGGGGGTGGTGATGTTATACCACATTATCAAAACTACTTTAACGTCCTTTGTCTTAGAAATCCTTAGAATGTCTTAGACAGCCTCAGGGCCATGAAACACTTGCCTCGATCCAACATGAGCAAACCGTAGGACTCAGAATTGCAGCGTTCCTGACTACCTACTCGCTGACGTTTCTGGGCATCCACGGGGCCCATTTTGCTCGGCAGTTGCAGCAAATGCAGGTGATCTTGTTGATGCAAAAAAAACAAAAACGGCTTTTCGGGTACATGGACGATCAAGAGCGATGTTCTCTCTTTTCGTGGCTACTTAAATGGCTACAGTCTGAGTGGTCCAGCAACCTCGAACATTCGCGTTCTGCTTGTTCTCTAACGGGAAAGTGCGTGGCTGGTCCTCGAACTACGTAGCAAATCGCATCCTTTAAGGGACAATCATTGCTTGGATTGATGTTTGCCCTACAATTTGCAGTCCTGTCTTTGCCCAGACCGTTCCACGTAATGAGATGTTCAAAAACACCTGTCTCATCCCAACAGCGTTGTTTTTGATCCACTGTTCAGGTGATGAGTTACATGTCAAAATACTTTTCCGCGCGCGAGGTCGCGCCGTGTCTCTGAGTTCAGCGCTCAGCTCCTTCCGTGGTGTGATGAGCCGCCCCGCCGACCTTGGACGGCGACGTGGAAAGGCGGACCCCACGGTGATGAGAGGGTTATCCTTGTAGAGAGGCCTCCAGTCATACCTTCTGAGAAGGTGGGACTGGGGTGGGCGCCAGGAGGGTCCAGTCATATCGAACCTGAGGAGGTGCGACTGGAGGGGTTGTCCTTGTAGAGAGGTTTTGAGAGTCCATGTGAGTCTCGGAGTCCGTACTTTTGGACGCAACCCCTGATCAATAAAATTTAGATGGGTTAAATTTGATTGAACACATCACATGGTGAAATGTGAAACCTAATTCGAATGCTATGAGGATCGTTCAGGCTTAGGTCCTGTTTGTTGTTGGCCTGGTGGCTTGCTAAGCACTCCAAAATATGAGCAAAAACCTATCCCAAACCATCCATATGATTGACCCCAATTACGACCCTATTCTATGATTCTATTGCATGGATGGCCTGGGGATCTTCCTTTCTTCACCGAAACCATGACGCTCCAGGCGTGAAACGGAAAAATCATGCCTCCCCACACGAGACGACCGACAGGTCGTGCACCCCAAAATCACCGCGCCGGGTCACGGCGTCGATTCGTGTGACGAATGGAACTTCCGGTGAAAGAAAGAGAGTCTTCGGTGGCAATCGATGACCAGAGAGTCTTCTTGACTGGATGTGTTCAACAAAAATGGATGACAAAAATGGATGACCATGGGACCACCTGGCGTGTGTCTTTCTTTTTTCCTCTCTCCCCCCCTTCGATGCAAAGTCCACACAGTAACGACAAACACCGCCGCGCCTGGGACGCGTAAGGGTGCCCAAACCATTCAGCGAGTGGGTCTTCAAGTGGCCAATGCCCACCCTGCACGAAAACCGTTGGCATTTATATTACGTTTCTTTTGGCGCAGAGTCGACAATTTTAGTTCAAAAGGGTTAAGATCTTTAAACAATATCAAGAAGTTTGCCTGAGCCTGGTGACCTGTAGTCACAGTTAGGGGATATGCGATAGGTCTTTCCCAACTTGAATAAACCACTGTTGTAAGAACACAGTTATATCCAAGTTGTGTATCTCACCCTTGCCAGATATGTCGCGTCCCATCTTTCTCGGCATGTCTCTTACATGAACTTCGAGTGAGTTTCGATGATGCGATCTCCCACGCATGCAAACTAGGGACGAACAACTCTCTTTTTCAGTAACAATGAACTGTGTGCAACGTGTGTTGTTTTCACAAACAATTACTGAAGCACATTTGGGGTCCCACTTTCAATTCTGCCAATCAGCCAAGCGATTGGATGTTCAAAGCTTTGAACAAAGGACGAGTTGTGGCCAACATGATGTGTGGCATCTCTTCAAACTTTCTGGAATCTAAGGAGCCACGGTGATACACTAAAGAGATGCCAATCGATACGGCGACACCAAACCACGCAGGTCGACCACGAGAAGGGAGAACTTGAGAGGAGGGAGACACGAAAGGTAGGACAGCGGGAAGAGAAGAGAACGCGAGAGGCAGGAACAAAAATGCAATGTTCGACATGGTGATTTATCCCCTCGGAGGCGACCTTTCGTAAAGATATGTTCATATGCACTCTAATTATGTTCAAACATATGCTCTCGAAATGTTCAAACAGATTCTTAGGAAAACAAACTTGCCCCATGGCTCAGATCATCGGTGAGCATTGAATCGGAACATCATAGGATTTGAACTATCCTGAAACCATAAGAGGCTCACGAAGACGCTCCCCAGGAGAGAATTGACGTGCTTCACAAAACAAACTCTAGGTATGTATCCCCTCGGGGAACACCTTTCGTGATTAGAATTTCATATTCACTCTTTCTGAATGTTCAAGAGGGTTTCAACTATCCTGAAATCATGAGAGGCTCACGAAGACG